ACACGTGCGAAGCCACAAATCCATCTAAAAGGAAGCCAACAAGCGATTGTTGCGCATCACCGCTGTCAATATGTCAAGAGGTCTTTTGAGGTGAGCCCCATAAACAATCCATCACTTCAGGATGGACCCAATAACGATGAAGGTTGGCATTCCTCACTCGTACGGCGCCGAGGAAGGGGATCGGCAAACGTGGTGAATAAATTACTTGCAATGGCATATGCTAAAGGTTTTTACATTATGCTTACGGAATAACTCACCAAAGCCACTGTAGATCCTGTAATCTCAGATTTTTGTGATCAAAACACTCAATGAAATGACAGCAATGTGGTCACGAAGACCTCATACAATGTGGCAACTTTAGCGGTGGGGAATGCGATCTTTTAGCAGAACCCCGTCAGCCCGCCCACCCAAAGCCAGCTGCGCTCATACTACAGGACTGGTATCAAGGGTCTGCCCTACGGCAAAGAAGCAGGTGTTTTCGCGCGTTGAGACAATCTTGGCCCAGCGATGCAAGTAGATGGAGCTTACCGTTTCAGAAACTGGAGGTGCTTTGTTCCGCTAATCGAGGCAATTCGAGGCTTTTGGTATTTCTTAGCAAGCCAAACCTCTCTGTCAAGAGCATTTTTTAACGACTCGTAGGGTGTGATTATGCCTGATGTGTGCTTATGGTGAGCAACTGAGGTTTGGGGTAATGCGGATGTTTATTCAGTGAAACTGTTCTTTTTTTAACCTGAAATTGTCCTACGGTGTATGGCTAGAGATTTTTAAAACTCAAGACATATGGAATATGGAATTCAGGCTCTAATTCTCCAGCATTTCAAATCCTGATATTGGGAGATTTGCTGCCCGAGAGGAATAATAAATTCAAAGAGCTCCAAAGGCGTGGGGAGGGGGCAATGCATTTAGGCGTGAAGGAGTTTTGGGGATTAAACCTGTTAATGTACGTTTACTCTCCCCACGTGAAAACAGCAGCACCTAAGGGATATTTTGGTTCTCCAAAACCCGACGCGGCACCATGCTTTTCGTGTGACGTTCCAATTACCATTCATCTTCATAGCTGCGTCTTTTACTCTCCCATTCGTCTATCAAACATAATGGAAGCTCAATAATTTATTATTAACATCCATAAACCATGTATGTCATCCACATACCGTTTTCCGATAAAGTAGGTTTCATGATGAGAATGGGTCAGGGTTCTCGCTCGTTTCTAGTGAACGTTCGAAGGAAACTTTACCAATCCGGAATACATCCGATTGTTTCCACCAAACGTTGTGCGGGCATACTTTCCCCTTGGATCGTATACTGAATCCAAGGTGTAACCCCACCGTCTAGGGCCCCCATATCGGAAAGACATCCTAATCTATGGTTATAGAGTCCTACATAGAGTCAAGCAATATGAAGTAAAGTCGAAGGCGTAGAGGTCGGAGTTTGACTCAGTCCGTCTCAATCCGCAGTCAGAACCCGGATTTGGACCTGGAAAGTCGAACATTTAGCTCAATATTTTTCGAAAAGCGGAATTTGCAGCGAAAAGACGATCCCAATAAGCACATTTTCACCAAAAACGTCAAAATATCGAGCCACTTTCGCAAAATCGGGCGATTCCGCAAAAGCTTACCCTATCAGATAATGGGTGGCATCGACGATTTGATGGATTACGGCCCGTACATAATACCATTTTCAAACACTATGTGCCAAAAAAGGTATGAATAAACGCTCTCTGGTTCTGTGTTTTCAAAATCTGCACGATGTTTTTCAGCTGTCTCGAACACTACCCTCCAGATAAAAAATGACAAAAATATGTTTTCTATCTGTGCGGACGTGCTGTGCGACAAGGGCACCTCGAAGTATCAGGTGCGCGTGAAGGGTGGGACTGATTTCGTGGACTGCCCACCCGGAAGCACTCTTGTGCTCTCGGAGTACAGTACAGAGTTTAAGTCTGGCGCGATCGAGTGTGCATCATACGAGGAGGTATGCAACACAAACTATTACCGAATCAAGACCCATCACATCCCCGCATCCGGTACGACTAACATCGCGTACCACTTCACTTACACGCTTGCGGCGGCCCTGGCTGTTCTAATTGTCCTTGCTGAATGATGGCAGGGAGCAACGTGTGCTGTAGGGTGGCTCCTGATCGTTTTTTTCATTCAGTGATATAATTTTAC